TCAGCAGCTGATGGGCTCTACAAGCTGGAATGAAACACCAAGTTCAAGGGGTTTAACTGCCATCATTGAGATCTGCTTAAAGAACTTAGGATACTATAACATGTCAAAGTCTATTTGCTATATAATAAGGAGGGTGTTAGCTGGAGGGATCAAGCTGATGTGGTGTATTGCTGGGTTGCCCAACTTGTAACTCAGAGATATGGCACAGGTGTGTTTCACAGACTGAATTAAAAGTAAAAAGGGTTTCATACATCTTAAACTTTAACTGGCCTTCTGTTAAAGGAGATGATTAACTGGTTTTTCAATAACTGACATCTCACTCTTTTCAGCTTCAGAAACACTGAGGAAGCAAATCAGACAATGTTCATAAAGGTTATAAAATGAGTAATTCTGGGTATTTCATAAAGCAGTGACTTCAAAAAAGTTATTCCTTTTGTTTGTCTCTGATTTAGCAACATTACAGATCTTTGTGAAACTTTCAGATTTGTATGCTTACAGAAACCGCACCCTAATAAGCACTTTGATCTTTTCTGTCCTAGTTTGAGTAAAACTGCTTGGAAAAATCAAGGACTGGGGGTAGGGGCTGGTGGTGGGGTTTTTTCAATGGTGTATTCTGTTGTTTCGATAAATGTTACACAATTCCATACTTTTCCTCTTGCTGAGTTCCTTGGTGAAAGTAATTAGTAAATATCTTGATGCACTGAATAGTTCTTAAAGAAATCCAACCAACGAACCAAGCAAATGTATAAAATTTAGCTCATTACCATGGACATACAATTATAAAAACTGCAAATGAAATTCTGCAACACCATTATATCTTCTTGCTCTAGCAGAAACTGTGCATATGTTGTTGTTGAGAGAAAGATTCATTAGAACTCTTTATTACCCTGATACAGTACCACTCACACTGAAAGACTAATGAAGCTTTTAGTCATCACCATTAATAATATTTCCTATCAAACCTCCATACATTTTTACTTTAAAAGCCAAAAAAATTATTTTTACTAGTTCCTGTTTTCCAAAGTAAATCAACCTGTAATGCCAGAACATTCATGTTCTTGATCTGTCTCAAAGACCAATCTATAGAACAAGTTGGTTTGTACAATTGTGTATCTCACCACTTGTCCCTTTCCAAAATTTCTTTTATTTTAATGCTCTATGTAGTTTCTTAGTATGTGGGGTTTTGCATTACAAAGTTCTGTTTGAACCTTTCATGTAGTTGCAATTATTTTGTTTTCCATCTCCCGGAAAAAAAACATAAGAAATATTCAAAAACTGACAATAATTCTTCCAAGAAATAAAACCAGCACTAAGTAAAAATTAATTATTTCACCCTCTCTCCCTATGAGCGCTGCACATGTTGTATGAATGTCACGTTCTAGTACAGAAGAAAGAAATTAATCAGTGTTTAAATTGCAGATATTCCCTGTGTAATAACCTGATTTAATCTAAAAAGCAAGGATTTTTAAAATAGGTCCAACCCCTTTGATGATTTAAACAAATCTTAAGAAACCAGAGAGTTTGCGTTTTCTGTGTAGTCTTTCTTTGTGTTCTACCTTGTATTAAAAAAAGTATGATTTTTGTTGCATATTCCTATAATTGGAATATAATTATGTTGTAAATTCATTAATTTGTGACATAAATGAGCCTAGGCAAAATGGGGGTTTAACCTGTTCTTCTAAATATATTTCCACTGACGACATTATTTCCATTTGCAGTAAGCACTGAGGACTGAAGTAACAAGTGCTCTGAAGGATTCCTTCACGGGCAATACTGAAGAACACTGTTTAGTACATCCAGTTAAAATGTCATAAACATACAATGGTGATGAATTGCTTTGTATTGAACTTTCATATTGAAAAATATGAAATTGTTTTTTCATGCTATTTTGGCAGAAAAAGGGTGAGCAATTATTGTAATTTTGTAAAATCTGAAATCACAGAATAGTTATCTTCTTCCTAAATAAAATGTCACTTTACAGAAAGGTATATCTTGGAAACTGTTCTACTGACTGCATCATTGTCTGTCTTAGCCTCATTTGCCCAACTAGCATGTTTGAGGATGAATGTAACTAGATGCAGTCATCAAGATCACCTTGTTTTCTTCGGACTGGTATTCAATTTGTTTGCAGACAAGAGGAGAAATTGATGATTTAAATCTTCTCAGGCCATCATCTTTATTTTGTAATTTTTCTTTAACCTCTCCATTTTGTAGAGAAAAAGAAAAAGACAATTTTGTTTCCAAACAGGACATGTAACATGAACTACTTTGCAACTCAACATATAAATCTAAGTACCTCTCATATAGCCCTCTTAAAAATGCCAGGTACTACCCACATGAGCAAACCTCCTGCTGCACTAAAAGCAGTCATGAAGCTAATATGAAGGAATGGGAAGACCTAAACGTTAGAAGAAGGGAATTGACTGCAGAAGTAACAGTGGGAGAAAGATGATGGAAAAACAGTGGGAGGAATCTTACAGTGATAAGGGGGAAGCTAATGGGGAAAGGTGCCAACAAGAACAAGACCCAATTGTGTACCAGAGACCTCTTAATATCAAGAGTCTGTATCCTAATCAGAATTTCTTAGGCCCTACTTTAATCAAGACCACAAGCTTTAGTCTTAAGAATCTGGAAATATGGAGTAGAAGCATAGCAAGAAAAGGGGATATTCTGGACATGCAGAACTCATTTCAGTAGCTTTGCTTCTGCCCCACATTTACTTTGGCTTTTAAATCTAATGTACACAAGATTACAGATAGATATCCAGGGACCAGGACACAGGATGACCTAATTTTAGGTATTTCTTCAGTATTGGTATTTACCTCATGCATGATATGAAAGATGAGTAAGGCCTGACAAAAAAAAAACCCAAACCATTTAATTTGTGGTGGCACTGTTCACTACTTGGAAGTGACTTGAATCTGTCTTAATTGGTGAGTTGTTATCTGCAAGTTATTGATTTATTTTATTCTTTCTATGGCTGGTAGCCAAACATCATTCAGGATGTTAATTCGGGATGCTCCCCACAGGACTGAACTGGGATCCCTGAAAAAAAACCTTCACCATGCTCTGCTTCCTGTTCTCTGCCTTCCTTCAGTGACATGGTCTGTGACCCTTCCTTAAATCCAGAAGATCTGTCACAGGGAAATGAATAGTGGATTTCTTTTTTTCCCTGAGCATATAATTTTCTTAACTTATAGTTTCAGTGCTCTATATGAATTTAAAAGGTGCCTTGGGATTTGAGCAATTCTAACAGTGTTTCAGTATTTCTTACTGATGCTAGCATATTTATTTGAGGATTAGCCCTCTAAGTAGTTCTACATATGGATAACTAAGAACCTGTTTGCCTGTTGTTGTCTGCTTCAGTAGTTCATTACTATGAATGAATCTATATCAAATCCAGACATTTAGTCCACCATCAGTCACAAAGTACATGTCACTATAATGTTATTTTGCAAGGGAAAATATAAATAGGATCTGTTTCTGTACAACAGTGATCGTTAGAGAGAGGGAATGAATTAAGAAAAATTTACCTCACTTCAAACAGTTAAGTTAGCAAGATTCTTACCGAGGTGAAGCGTACTGTAGGAGAAACAAGACTTTTAATAAAGGTAGTGTTGGCTGAACAACTGCAAGTAAAAAGGAGACAGGAGATCAGTGTGACATGGCAGTGAATGTGGTACTGGGAGGTTGCCGTGGAGGTTGCTGGCCTGAACACTATGAACTGAGAAGTCACCATCTGGCAGAGACAGTACACGCAAGTGACCGCAAGTAACATGGAAAAGTACCCATGACCTACGTGGCTTGGACTGTGATGGGAGGGTCACAAAGCAAGCAAAATAAGCAACAGAAGTAGTATAAACGCATATGCTGAGGGTCTCTGAACTGATTGACGATCTGAACGCAACAGTCAGTCAATGGAGCTGAGGAGTGCAGTGGATTCCCAGAGCAAGCAGATATCTGTGGGAGAGGGGTGACCTGATCCCAAGAGGGAAGAGGAGAGCCTCTCCTCCTGCTCTGCCACCCACGCTAAGCTAATAAAGCTGTGGATAAAAGTAACAACCTCAGTCCCGGTTATTTTCTTCACGGAGCGGATTCTAGTTGCCCCAGGTTATAAGATTCAAACAGCACCCCAGACAGGTATGTGGACTGCTCAAGTTCGTCTCCGATTCCCAGTTAACTCCTGCAGCGACGTACAGACTGTGCCATAAGCCGGGAGCTGCACACGGAGCCTGGAACCGCTCTTCCCTCACATGGTGACAAACCTTGCGGGCTCGACCCTGCGGCTCCTGGTGCTGCGGGAGGGCAACCCCTTCCTCCTGGATGGCGGAGCGGCCGCAGGACTGGCAGCGGGAGCGCCGGGCTGTCCCGTCAGAACGGGAGCGGGCATCTGCGCGGGGAACGAGCTGCCAGTGCCTCTGAGCCACAGCCACAGCCACAGCCACAGCCACAGCCACAGCCACAGTCACAGTCACAGTCACAGCCACAGCCACAGCCACAGCCACAGTCACAGCCACAGCCACAGCCACAGCCCGCGCAGGGAGCAGCCACGGGGCTCAGCACGCTGCCCCCTGCCCACCCGCAGCGCCTCCAAGAAGGGTAACTTAGTGGCTTTTCCTCCGCTCCCGAGGCAACCCAAGGGCTGCCCAGATCCTCCCGCACCTCCCCCTCCAGCGGTCCCCGCGGCTCCGGACCGCAGCGGTGCCAGCGAGTCCCTCCCCGCCGTCGGCAGCGCCACTAGCACCTCCTGGACGTGGGGGGAAGCTCCGTGCCCGCCACCGGCTGCTCTCCCGCCAGGACACCCTTGGTCGCTCCCCGCCGCCCGGGTGCATCCCGGAACCGCGCGGCGGGGACCGGCTGCTGTCCCGTCGGGACACTCCCGCTCCGACTCCCACTCCCCCCTCCCGCCCCCGCCATGAGGGGGCAACCCCCCCCCCACCGCGGGTCGCGCCCCGCTCGCGCCGCCTGTTGTTGTCCGGGCTCCCCGCGGCCGCCGGGGGGCGGGGCCGGGACGCGGCGGCCAATGAGGCGGCGCCGCCGGCGGCGCGTCGGTGGCAGTGGCGGCCGAAGCGGGCTGGGAGGGCGCACGCAGCGTGAGCGCCGCTCCGTTCCCCGCGCGGGCGGAGCGGAGCGGGCGGGGGGTGCGAAGCAGATCTCGGCTCCGGGGAGTCGCGGCCGGGACATGGCGGCGGCGGCGGCCGTTCGGCGGCGGCGTCCCTGGGCCCTGCTGTGCGTGCTGGCGGCCGCGCTGCTCTACCCCGTGACGGCCGGTGAGTGCGCGCGGGTGCGCGGAGAGGCGAGAGCGGAGAGAGGGAGCAGGCGCAGCGACGGCGCCCGGGGCGGGGAGGGGGGGGGCGGGTGGGGAGAGCGGTGGGGGACTGTGGGTCCCCGCCGGTTCCTTTCAACAACATGGCGGAGGGGCCGGCTGGGGCGGAGTCACCGCCCCCCCACCCCCGGTGTCCGAGCCCGGCGGGGACCGCTCGGCCCTTTGTTGGCCGAGCGCGGCGGCGGCGGCTTCGAGGGAGGAGGGGCGGTGGGAGCTCCCCGCCGCCCCCGCCTCGCCCCCGCCGGGCAGCGCTCCGGGCGGTGTCTGCCCGGGGCAACTTTCCCGCGGCCGCCCCGGCCCCTGCCCCCGTGGGGTCTGTGGCTGTGGCCCGCGAAGGGAACTTTGTTATCGCTGGCGGAACACCTCCGCCCCTCCGGCCCTCCCTGCGGACAGAGGAGCCCTTGAGAGCCCCCCAGCTCCGGCCCGGGGTGCGCCGGCAGCGGGAGGAGCAGCAGCCCCCGGACGCTCAGAGGCGGTGCCGCCGCGGAGCGGAGACAGAGGAGCGGGCGGTGCAGATACGTGTTGAATGTTCCACGTAGCGGGAGTGACAAGAGGCTGCCCCGGCTCCGGTCGCGACACAGCACAGCATGCCCAGCACCTCGCCAGGGTGCTCGGCGAACACCAAGCCGTGAAAATTAAATCCTTGGTGAATATTGTGTGGGGAAGCGGTTTTGTTCCTCTAGCCTTCTTTACCTATGCTCTTTTGCGAGAGGGATCTGATATCAGAGCTGTGCTGTTGCAGAGCTAATGCATGAAACAGGAGCGATTAACAGTATTCATAAGTGCCAGAATTAAAACCTTGTCATTTATTTTCTTTTTTTTTTCTTTTTTGTAAAGGCCACTTCATTCTGCAGTTTGGGACATATGTCCTAACAGGGCATACAACTGTTTGAGACATGAAACCTGATTTAGGTTTCAGTTTCATCTGTATTAAGTTAGATGATGACGACAGATACGCAAAATCTGCATTTTATAAACAATCCACTTATTAATTTCCTCTGTAGTTGGGTTATATATTGCTTTGAGTTTTTAAAGAGGAAGTGAGAAGCACCACAACTTCTTCAGTTACAGCTTCAATCTGGATCTTTACCATGCTGTTCATAATTCAAACTGGTACTCATGCTGTACCAGTTAAAAAAAAAGTTACTTAAATAAAGCATAACTTGCTATACTAAAATATGATTACACCCATATTCTTATTGAAGATAGTGGAGAATCTCTCATGTGGAAACAGTGAAATAAGCTTAAGTTACCCGTGTGTTCTTGAAAAGGTGCATCAGGATTTAATAATTTAAAGCTTTCTTATGGAACACATTCAATTTAGACGTTGACAGAAATTTTACTTCGATTTCAGCTTTGAACTTTTCCTTTCTAATGCCTCTCATCAATCAACAGTTTTCCCTTAATCTCAAGCATGAAATTAAGGTCTAAAAACTTTATGTGAAAACAAGGCAATAGACTCCCGTACAAAAGCTTAGGCATGGTAGTGGTGGTGTGCTACCTTTTGTTTAAAAAGGGAGAAATCCTTTCTGTCCAAGGGGAATGGGGAGGGATCCAGGATTCTTGATTCATAACTCATAGAGAGGCCCTGATACTGGTAAGGGGATTAATTTGCTGAACATTGTGTCTAAGTTGACAAAGTGAAAATAAGCTTTCTGGTTTTCACTGTGTAAGTCTTTATTCTTACCAAAATTCTGGGGAGTCACCTCTTGGAAACTCTTGCAATCATACAATTGCTTCTAACCTCAAATAAAGATAGCAATCTGATTCATATGGTGGAATGAATTTAAAAGTGCAAATGAAGATCTTTCCTATTTCTGTTTTTGTAACACTAGTAAAATTATAACCTAGCCTTTTAATTTTAACTTTGTTCTGGTTTTTTATTTATTTATTTATTTATTTGAACAAAACTCTTCTAGGAAAGATACACTAACAGTTGTTCTGGTATCCTGCTGTAAGAGGCATGAACATACCTGTGGGTAATGTTACCAATGAAAGGCAAAAAACCTGATAGTGCCATTTGGCACCTGCACTACAGAGAATATGATACCACTTTTTTGAAGCTCAGATTCTACATGAGGTTTTATCATTGCTTGCAAGTTGAGGGTAGGACCTTAATAAACTAGTTTGTTTTCTTGAGTGCATCGCTTTGGTTGGTAAAACCTGCTGTTTGCAGTGGAAGTTTTACTTAACAAAGATGGATGAAATGTATGTGAAAGTTTTCCTGCAAACTTGATATCCAGTGCTGTTACTTAATATGAGTTAAACTTAAGAAGTGCATTTGTGAGAAAAATGCATTAGTGAAGGTCGTGAACTATCATGATTTTAAAAACTGTACCTATGTCCCAGATATTTTAAGACCTAAACATTTTTGTATCTTGAGCTAGAAGAGTTCAGAACAGATGATTCAGGTGTATTGTTTGAGGAGATTGAACTAGAGACTCAGAAGCTGACAGCACTGTTCTGTATTATGCTTTTTTGCTTCTAGCAAATTTTATTGCAGAGGAAAAAACTACCAGTGAGCACTACAGCTGTCTTGCTCATCCTCCCAAAATCTATTAGTCTCTTGAACAGCACAGCCATGCTCCTTTATCCCTTGAAACTCTGCATCTTGTGGTACCAAGGGATCTAATTGTTCTTGTGAAGTTCTGCTTCTGGTGAAATTTTTGTTTCAAAAATTGTATTTTCCATGAAAGAAGAGTTAAATTCTTCTCTTGTGATGGAATTTTTTCACCTAATGTTGGTGTTGGGGTACTGAGAGTATTTGTCTTTTTTTGTAAATTTGTAAAACAAAGATATATTATTAAATAAAGTATTAATAACTTAAAATGTTAATTGCTTTTAATAAGTTGTGAGTTGGGTTGTTTGTCGATTTTTTTTTATTATTTTTTTTTTTTTTAGAGCACCTCACAAGTTTTAACTGCTGTAATGCCCCTTGTTAGCATCCTTCAAGAGACAATATTTCAACATATGACTTCCAATTAAAAATTCTTTGGCTGAAGGTGGTGTTGTATGCTAAACTGTCTGGTTGAAGTAGTTCTGCAGGATGTTAACAAACATTACACAGTGATTCACAGGGTATTATGTAATTCTAAACGTAAAGACTTTGTGCAATTTTCTTACTTTAGAAAGACAACAGATACAAAAAAGGCTGTTTCAATAGGTAACTAATGGTACAGACTTCTAAAAGTTAAGTGGATGGGGTGTACCTAATTCTCTTCACATTTTGTATATAGTATTAATATCTGAGCTCTTAGGAACCAGCTTATTTTAAGTCTTGTCAAGCTGTGTGGTTTCAGGGTCTCATTTATGCTGCTCATTTGCTTCACCCTCACCGGGGACTTTCCAAGCTGCAACACCCATGCAAGAGAGACTTCTTAAAGGGAAGACAAAACTGTCACACTCAGAGTCTGAGTAATTACACAAGTGATTGTGTTCATCATGAGAGGTTAATCCATTTTTAAATCAGATTGAGATATGAGAAATATGTTGTTGATAACTTCTATGACACGATATGTGTCATAAACCACACACACACCCACTTTCAGAACTCTGTTGTCTCACTGTTTGCTTTTATGGTAGTCAGTCATACAAAGTAGGAACGATTATGTAGAATAGTCCTAGTGCACTGAGAAAATGCAATAGGGAAGGAACTAGATCACTGTGTTGACCCAATTTTTGCTCTAGACTATGTCCCTGGTTGTCTGTATAACTTTCACTACATTTGTGTAGCTGTCTGTACTGTAGTTTCTCAAGCCTTATATCTCTTAAACAGATATGACCTTTCATTAGTTGGTAGTGGAGCCTCATGTTAGTGGTTCCATCCAAACACTGTTGTAATACTTAAAATAATTCTCTGACATGGAAGATATGGACTAAGTCTTAAGTAAAAACTTTTTTTTCCTCTTCTTTGAATTTAATAGTTTTGAAAGACCTCTAGAGTTCTTTGTAATAGTAGATTTAAAAGGTGTTTTCCAAATTTGTATTGAAATGCATTTTACCTGAAATATATTACTGGCTCTGGAAGATCAGCTTACATCAGAGTTGTCATTCTCTCATCCCATTCTATTATCAATCCATTCTAGAAATGTATGTATTCATTTAAGTGAACTTGGAGACCTGACTAATTTCTGTCTGAGTTCTTAAAATTACTATAGTGCTTCTCTGAGAAGAAGAGGGACTACTTGGAGACAAAGCAAAAATTCGTATCTCCAAGAGGACAACAGTATGCTATTTTTTTCTTTGATATTAGTTAAAAGTGAAAACTCTTCCTTAGAGGAATGATTTAATTACAATTGGTTTTTGACATCTCCTCATCCCATTGATGTTAAACGTCACCTACAATGTGTTCATGTGGTTGTAGTCTGTTGTTTTACCACAGATAACTGGAGAATGACACATGGGCAAAGATACTCCAATTCCATATTCCCTCGTCCTTGTATGGATTGTTGCTGAAGATGCTGAACTAGTTTTCCTGTTAGTAAAATATGGAAATTCTCCTTTTACCTACTTGAGTTGGAAGACATGAGGAGTCATAAGTGGCCAAAGTAGGAGGGGTCTAAAGCATTTTTAATTGTTTTGGGTTTTTTTTTTTAAGATATGCCCACTAGAGAGCAGCAAAAACCTGTATTCCTGGGAGCTTTGGCTTATTCAGCTGATTAGGCATTGTCTTCCCCTTCTGTGGGAGGGGGAGAGTAGCTTCAGAGGGAAGTAGTGATCTATTTGTGCGGAGGAAATCATTCTGTTGTGTGTGACAGTGTACCGTGCCTCGGCAGGAGACTAGAAGGTAGCGGCATCAAACAGGAACAAAAGTGTGTATTGTATCAAATTGCTCTAACTGGGAATTCTGTAGCAAAAGAGAGGTGGAAACCAAGCCAATGAGGAAGATAAGATGCCAATGTGTTACTTAGTCATGGTTGTAACAGTGTGTCTGTACAGCTTCAAGATCAGGAAGATGAATGAGTGTAACAAGGTCAACCCAAACCTAATTTTTTACTTCAAGTAACTTGGCCTCTGTACAGTGACTAAATGTAAATATATCTCACTGAATATCTGTCTTTTGCTGTAGGCATTCAGATACTACACATTCACATGTGTAGTTACGATGAGCCAAAAATACCATTTAGAAAGTAGAAAAAAAGGTCATGGATGAAGCAAGTGAGATAAAGGTGTGCTTGTTAAAAAAGTTGCAAGAAAGTGTGTGAATATTTTAGGAAACTTTTCAAGGTTTTAATGGGTTAAAAATAATTTCTTCAGGTGTAAATTGCCAAAGGCACGGCGACAGGAAAATAAATATTAAATGTTCTCATAGTTAAGCTCTGAATAATAACTTTCCTTGCTTCCTTGGTTAGTGGGAGGTAGAGATATGGGTGGGAAATTGCATCTTCAAAAAGTGATGCTGTTAAGATTCACCTTCCCATGTGCCAGTTCTCATTTCATCTACCTTATAATTACTTTTTTCAATAATCTTCATAATAAATAATTTTGCAATCCCATTTGCGGGTTTTTTCCCCCTCCCTTTTTCTGACTGGTCTATGTGCTGGTGAATCTCTGAAGTCAGGTTATCTTTCCATAGTGGGTCCTTAAAACTTGATCAAATCTTCAGTAACAGTAGAAGATGATTTGCAATTATTTGGTTTGATTCAAGACCTTGCAGGAAGGAGGTGTTTTTGGAAAATGTTTCTCAGAATCCACACTTCGAGATGACGTGTATATATTTGAGAGCAGATCACCATTTATTTAAATCCATGATATACAATGATAGAGAGGGATGTAAAATCCAAGGCAGTCCAGGTGGTTATATCAAACTCTTCCATTTAAGTGAATTGCCAGAGTTCAGATTTGTGGGACCTTTGATTTTGCCGGCTATTAATCCTCATGGTTTTGGTGGGAGTTTTGTATGTACCCTTGAAAGAGACTTTTTTTATGGCTCAGTACATTTTTTGGTATTTTGGTCATGAATGTTTAATGTTTTAAATCTTTCTAAATTTCTGTATTTCAGTCTTTCTTTATGCATGTACACAAGTCCCAGGCTAGCTTTTGGCCTCTACTGGTGAATAAGTGGAGGCAGAGTGTATTGATATTTTTGTTGTTGCCACTGCACTGTTTTCTGTCTGGCTTTGGTCTGGTAAATGCAGGAAAGAATAGAGAAAGAAATTAGAAGTAGTAGTCTTCCTTCTCCAAGAACTTCTGCAATGCAAAGAATGAAACCTGATCATCCTAGAGATGATTAGCCTGTCATTCCTGCTTCCCTCCCCTCCTTTACTACTGCAATTGATAGCTTTAGTAAATCACGAACTTGGGTAATGTAATACAGCATTTTCCTGTGGCTGCATAAATAACAAGTCTAAACCACCACATTCTGCTTCTGTGACAGGATGTGCTCTCAGGTCATGCAAGGTTTGGTTTTTAGTGAGGATTAAACTGTTATATGCCCTTTTGGCGCTAAATGAAAACCATCAAGTAATGTATAAGGTAATAATCTTGGGTAACCAGCAGCATCCTATTTGTCACTTAGAAAAGATGTACCTGTGGTTATTGTGGGAAAAAATGGCATTATTTGTATTTGGTTTGAAAATAGCAGAATAGCGTGCTGTAGAGAATACAGTGCTGTTTAGAAGTTTGATCTTTAGTGTGAGGAACTGTAATGGAACTTATTTCCCCGAAGGATAGGATTTCAACCTTTCTCTTTTACTACATCATTATATAAGGAGAGATGACTTCAGCTTTAAATTTTACTTTCTTCTGCTCGTCTCCTAATTTTTTTGTCCCTTGTAGTGTTGTCTTTCAGTGATTTGGCTCTGTGTCTATGTAACCAAAAAGATTACAGACCTCCTAGCATTTTGAATTTATATTTCCTTAGTCATTCAAGTTGTTTCTCAACTCAGAACGTGTACCAATACTAACATTAATGTTTTTTCTCAATACAGAATTAGAGTGTTACTGCCATCTATGTACAAAAGACAACTTTACGTGTGTGACAGATGGAGTATGTTTTGCCTCAGTAACACGAACTGCAGACAAAATAATACACAATAGTATGTGTATAGCAGAAGTTGATCTGATTCCCCGAGACAGACCGTTCGTTTGTTCCTCCTCCACCAGAGATGGAGTCTTTACTGTGCCTCATTGCTGTAACACGCCTCTCTGCAATAAAATAGAACTTCCAATTCCAACACCAGGTAATGGGGGTTTGGCTGTTTTTGTTTTTCCTTCGTTTTTTTCAAACAGAAAATTCTATAAGCATGGAAGTTTCAGTTTTGAAGTTTGTAGGTAAATTTGAAGGCCTAAAGTACATCTTATATTCTGCAAGTACAATTTCATGGTATTTGAATACGAATTGTAGTCTTCTGGGTAGGAATGTTAGGGCCAGTTTTGAAGACTTACATGCAAGTTAAATGGAAAGTGTAAGTAAGCACGTTGTTTTTTCCTTTGTAATACTTATTTTGATTCTTGAAATGGTTACTGTGCAAAAGTTTTAACAAATACCTTGAAATAATTTGAATACTATAAGTTTAGTTGCATGAAAGGAAAGAAATAGTTTTACCATTTTCTTTAATTTTTACTGTCAGGCCCTACTGCAGAAAAACCAGCTTCTAATCTAGGACCCGTGGAACTGGCTGCTGTCATTGCTGGACCTGTCTGCTTTGTCTGCATTTCACTAATGTTGATTCTGTATATTTGTCATAATCGTACTGTAATTCATCATCGTGTGCCAAGTGAAGAAGACCCTTCATTGGATCGTCCCTTTATATCAGAAGGAACTACCTTAAAGGATTTAATTTACGATATGACAACTTCAGGCTCTGGTTCAGGTAAAGGCACACTTCTGGTGGTTATTACCCTGTGTTTAAGAGCCTTGTAATTCCTCAGGGTTTTTTTTATGTTGTCAAATCTGCTCAAACTTATAATTAACTGGAGAAATTACTAAAAAAGCAACTTCCATGCAGATTCATTCAGTGTCAGTGAAGATTCAATGTATGGAAATAAGTGAAATAAAAAAAAATTGAGTTGTTGCTACTGTTCCTTATCATTCTTAGAGTAGCCTGATATATATATATATGTGTGTGTGTGTGTGTGTGTGTATATTAAATAATGCAGGGAATGTCACAGTCACCTATTGTAAATATTTTGTTTCCTGTAAGGCTCAGCCATTTACCTTTTTATTCTGTGCAGTACAGCTAAACTACCATCTTCTATGGTTTTTAGATAATTTGTGAAGGGTTTGTTTTTTTAGCTTTAAATTGGAAATTCATTTATAGGTGTAGCTATTGGTGTATGAAGAATATTCTGAATTCTGAGTTAATATTTTACGCAGTTATGTTTGTTCTAGGAAGGATATAGGGAAGTAAGAGACTTAGAGATTATGGAGAGTTAGAGATTTACATATCTTGGAATGCAGAAAGATTTTATATTTAATTGTTATGCTATTAGAACCATAAAACTCCCTATTTAATGTCTCCAGATACAGACTTCTAAAGAAGGCTGAAAAGAAATTCTAATTAAAATTCAAACTTAGTTATCAGTTGGTCTTTTCATTTGTTATCAGGAATATTCCTTCATTTTCCTTTTGGCTTTCTTCCTTGTGGTGCTTCTGAACCTCTCTTTGTTTGAAAACTCTGGAAGTACTCCTTCAAAATAAGCTCTTGAAAAGCAGAGAATCCAAGTTAGAAGAGACTTATGATTCTTCTTCTGGAGCAAATGGCTAGAAACTACTGACTATTCCCTTGCCTATTTGCAAATTACCCTTTAAGTAAAAGCAGCAAGCTAGGGAATTAGCTTTCACAGCTGAATTCAGGGCACTCAAGCTGGTCTAGACTCTCAGAGCAGCTGACCTACTATAGTATTTGAGCACTGGCTACTGGTGAATGCATCAGAGGAAAACCAACAAATGTGGTTGATTTTGACTTACTGCTAAGGAGACTCTTTACTAATTTGCTTTTATGCTTGAAAGACAGTCACATTTCTTGTAAAACAAGACTGGATGTTTCCTTTAAAGGGATCTTTTAACTTCAGCTGCAGTGAGTTCCATGTTGTTGAGCTGTTTGTAAGACAAGGATTGGCCTTATTTACTGTTCTGTACATCACTGTGATTATGGCAGTGAAATAGGAGATACTTCAGGTACTTGTTTTCTGTACTGTTGGCTGTGTATATATTTGCAATGACTTGTGTCACTGTCTCAAAATTAGTCAGTCAATGACTATATAAATTCACAGTGCCCTTGCACTTGAAATGATAATTTTCTTGTGTCCTGAAGTAAGCCTGCAGCAATTGAATCTCGTTGAAATGTGTGTTTTAATCCGGAGTTTGGGTACAGCACATTTAAAATTGAGAAAACTGTACATTTATGAAATAAACTGGGGATGGAAAAGAGGGTTGTGGAAGGGAGAAAAGCCACAGCTGCTAGTTAAAACAGTGCTTAACCCTGTCAGAAACTGAACTGTGTGAAAGGAATGGTGTTGGGACAAGAGATTGCAAAAACGCAAAGGATATGTACAGAATAGGCAAAATAATCCAGACCTAAGAGGCACAGCTAAGGAAGTGTCTAGTCTGGTGACACAAAGGCTATGTTCTGCTCCTAAATTCATGCCGAGGGACTAGAAGAGCTCATAGTCTATAATTAAAAAGGATTCTACCGATTTTGTTAATTTGGTGTTCTCTAACGAGAGGTGTATAAAACAGAGAAATTATCAAAACTCTACAATTGAGCTTCCTGTGCAGATCAAAAGGGAGTTAGGATTCATTTGCTGCAATGGTGAATAGTAACCTGCTATTAATTATTCAGTCTTGACTTACGTTAGTGTTACCCTGTTGTTCCATGACGAACAAGACCTGAAACAAGTAGATGCTTCATGAAAGGAATTGATGAAACATCTAAAATAGATCCTTCTGCTGAAGCTACAGCTTCTAAGAGAAGGATTTCAAAGTCTTCTGGAACTGACAATGATTTTCAGATCATGATGTAAATCTCTAAATATCGGCTACATATTGTATAGACAGATGGGGATGCCCATCTGTTACTCTAACTCAGTGATGAAGTAACTTAGTTGCAAAGGAGTGGAAAGAATTGCCTAAAATGGGGGGAAAGCTTTGAATAGTACTGGTAGGTGACTTCAAGCAGGAGCTATTTAGGAATCCAGGGGGTCCCAAAAATCAGTGCAAAGGTGAAGTGAATTTAAAGCTCCTTAAAAACTTCTGCAGTTCATGCAGGCTTGAAGGGAATGAGATTTTTCAGTCCATGGAATGTTGTTTGGGTTTTTTTTTTTTTTTTGTTACTCTTTGGAGAAAGTTTTCTGGGCAGAGACTTAAAAACGGGAACAAAATTCTAGCAGCTGCTCTTGTTGGCTACCTTTAATGCTTTAGAACTTAATTCCTGAATTATCCAGATTACTTACAAACTTCTTATGCATTGAACAGTCATTAGTCTAAACTAATTGGAGTATGGTTAGGATATGGAAAAGAAAAAGAACTTTTTTGTTTTTGCTAGACTCTCAGAACACTTGAGGATACTTTGATGCATAAAAATGATGATGAAGGTTTCAGGAATAAATTGGATGACAATGGCTGAATACAAGGGGTCGAATCTTTCTTCATGCACAGTTAAAAGGAGCTGTATTTTATGAGCCTGAAGTATGGTTGTGCCGAATGTGTGTGTCAAGGGCTGAGGCTGTAGCTGTCTCCTGTGAGCTGCTTTTCAGGCAGTCTGGCTTATAGTACAGCAGATGCTCAAGTTCCTGGTGATGCAGGGCTGTGTTTCCTCTATAGCAAAAGGAGGAAACTGCTCATTTGCAACAGAAAGTCTGTAATGAATTGCTGTGAATGCAAGATAAATATGGATTCTAATCTTCTGGTTTTGTTCAGGAGCAATACTAGGAGAAAGGTCAGTTGCCAAAAACAGAAGTTGAATCTTGTAAATACTGTAAAAATAAGTATAGGAGTAAGTGGATAGATCACAGTAGGGTTTTTATCCTATTGTGACATATTAATGTGATGATTGGGGGGTTGTAATGTGAAATTGAAATACTTCATGTCTGGGAGGTTTAGAGCTTAGTATCTGTTTAGAGGTTGGCTGATATCCTTGGACATATTTTTTAAACAAGGAGGGATGTCTACAGCAAGTTCAGAGCAGCGCATCTGAAACTGAAAATGTACAAATGGTTTTCTGATACAGCTGTGGGAAAAAAGTACTAGGCCCATCACCCATTTCAGGTACATAAAATCAGCTTTGATATTGTATTTGATAATTACCAGTGGACTTTGCAGTAGTACATGAGTTCTAAGGAAGAAGCTTTCTATGGCCAATGAAATCAAATTTTCCATTTTCAGGGTTGAGTTTGGTCCTGTAGTTGTCCTAGCCTTTTCTGCATTTCAAAAGTCTGTCCATAAAGAATGCAAGTTAGGCTTCACAGAAGAGCCTTTACGGTTTGGGCATGCAGCACAATTGACCTGAGGACAGCTATTACAGTAAAAGTTTTAACTTTCTCAGTAGAAATTATTGCAGTACCTGACAATGATAAAGTCACTGGTGCAATGTGCATTTTTATTCCTTCCTTTCTTCATATAGGTATGTTGTCAGCACATATCATACAGAAAATTCCTGTAGGTCTAGGAATCTTGACCTTGGTTGAACACTGGAGTGTTTTAATTTGCACTCCTCAGACTAAGATATAAGCGTAACAATGCTGCAGACCAGATCAGGTGTCCTTCTAGTGCTGCTGTTAGCAAAGAATGTCCAGAAATGCAGAAATGGACAAGAATTAGTTATTTGAGCTATTAGTTGGGATTTATTTTCTATAACATAAGGAAATACAGGTGTTCTGTCAGCTATTGGAACAGCGATTATGGAGTAATAGATTGCAAAGTGTTTGGTTTAAGTGAAATAATCCTGTACCAAAAGAGCTTATTGTAAGCAGATAACCTGGCTGATGCATTCATCCTGCAGTGTAGTGTCAATGCAGAATCCAGTGACAAGCCTTGCAGTTACAACAGGAAGGATTTAAAATTAACAAAAACCCACTCTGGTTGAGGGATGCCACTGCTTGTTTAAAATTACTGAAGCATGTGAAGAGGTGCTCTGTGCTGAAAGCATGTAGATGTTCCAAAGCTATAAAAGCTTCATGAATGTAAACCTTTTTTTCAAGTATAATTACTGCAAGGTGCACAAGAATGGCCTCTAAAAAGGGAAGCTTCCGTTACAAGGATGTTTTCCTATCTTGCAGTGACTTGGGATTACTAAGAGGCTACTGGCATACTTGGGCATGAGTGTAAGTTTTCAGCAGTAAGTGTTGCTGATAAGTGTGGTTTAACTTTAAACTTAGAAATGGACGGTCATATCTAGTGCTAAGTAAATTTAATCATTAGCAACAGTATTCTTAAGCTGCTTTGCCAGGAGAGTTATGGGCAGATCCTTTTTCCAAAAATAAATTTAAAAAACCCAAAAACCCAAACAAACAAGCAACCAAAAAAAACCTCCCTCAATCCTGGTCCTGATCGCTTCATGGTTGTTTCTTTTTTTCATTTAAATAAAATATTATGAATCAGCAAGTGCCCACATTCTTAACTGAAAGGAAGCGTGTGTCATGTTTTTAACAATTGTAGCATAATGTAATGTAATTTGTAACATAATGTCCTAGAGTACCTGTTTTGCTGGCATTTAAGGTTGAAGGCAGAATCCTACCTCTGCTTGTCAGCAGTTCATAACAAGCTGAGAGAATGTGCATTCTAAGAGAAATACCTTAATGGAATAGGATCTCATTTATTATTTGGGATAAGTGCTTGTTTTGCTGGAGTGATATTTAAGGTTAATGTAAAATCCTCTTTTCAGGTTTACCTTTACTTGTGCAAAGAACAATTGCAAGAACTATAGTACTTCAAGAAAGCATTGGTAAGGGTCGCTTTGGAGAAGTCTGGCGAGGGAAGTGGAGAGGAGAAGAAGTGGCTGTGAAGATCTTCTCTTCAAGAGAGGAACGTTCATGGTTTCGAGAAGCAGAAATTTATCAAACAGTTATGCTACGCCATGAAAACATACTTGGATTTATAGCTGCAGACAACAAAGGTTGGTGATACTATGAATTCATTTTACTATTTCTGTACCTCGTCAGAATAGACAGTACATGAAGGGGAAAATAAAGTTGTGAGGATCCTGTTAAGAGTAGCAAGAAATTATTTTGTTACTAGAGCATTTCAGGGTTTGACAGGCTTTTCATAAGTTTAATGAAGGAAAAAGGTACATTGTCTCTTTTCAGGAAAACATGCTTTCTATACATTTGTTTAAAATGCTTTGGTATCAAAAAGGAGATAGCTTATCATGTGAGCCCACACATCTGTTGAATACTTGTACCTGTAATTACCTAATAGCCTAATAATATACATGCTTGGAACCAAAAGAGATCTCATCTCATTGTCCCGATATAAAGCAGGAGGTAGAAGATTTATTTTTAAGGCTGAGTTATGGGAAGTTTATTCTTTCAAAACTCCAGTTAAAAAATAAATTGGAAAAATGAAATTAACAATTTGTTCCTAGCAGTAAAAAACTATACCTGCTTTCTGGAGCTCTCCTGATAAGTCTTTAAATATCCACTAAGAGGAACAGTTTAAACATTTTTTTTCAGCTTGAATTGTTGTGGCTACAGTAGATTAAAGTTTCTTGGATTTTCCTGCAGTCCAGTTTAAGATGCCAGAGTTTGGTAAAACCTAAACAAGTTTTGAATTTCTTACCTTAAGGGGAGCTAAGATGTTACACTGTTTCATTGAGTTACTTTCATCTGAAACTGCATGTTTCACCACAAATGGCCTTTGACTTTTTTGCAAAGAAAGCAGAAAATTCTGTCACCTTAAGGAGGAGTCAAGAATTCACACACATGCTGAATTCTTAAAGGGCTCTCAGTTTTGTGGGAAATTCCTAAATGGTTTTAGTGTAGTTGAAGTATATGTGTAAATAGAGGGTTTTTTTAATTACTCCTAGATTAATTTCAAATTTTTATATCTATATAAATCTGTAGAATTGGGACAGAATCCAAGAGATTATGTGGAACACTTCTCCAGGAAAGGATTACCTGCAGTTAACTTGCTCCTAACAGATATTTGTGCAGCTTGTTATCCTCCAAGAGCTTGCAGATCTATACCATACCAGGCAACTTCTTCCTGAAGCTTATTATGCTTACCATTAGAAACTGTCTTATTTTCATACTTAAAATTGTACTGGCTATTATTAGTACCTACAAGAGCTTGAGTTTTTTCTGGTGGACCTACTAGAGTATCTGGAGCCTGGGTTTAAAATTAGATTAGTTGCATTAAAACCATAAATGAAAAGCCATCGCTGCAGAAGCTTTAGCTTCTGTATGTCACTTAAAAACATGGAGGATGTATTACAATACCTTGGCTATAACTTTTAACAAAATCCATCAGTGGTTAAGTATACCGGTCTCTCGTTTTGCCCAAAACCCTCAGGTAGTTTGTCCCAAAAATACACTTGACTACTCTGCAGAGGAGGTATGGGAAGGCTTCTTAAATGGTTGGCTTTCAAAAATAATTTCTTGATTACTGTTTTGAGTTCCAGATGAAATAGCGTCAAGTTCCATTTGACTTGATCATCATTAGGTTCCTTCTAATATAATGTGATATGAAATTGTTTCTAGTTTCTACTGTTAAAATGCTTTACATACAAAGAAGAAATCCTTAATTGATAGCTCATGCCATTATTGGAGGCTTTAGGGCTTCAAGGCAAGGCTCTTCTATTTTCTTGAGAACTAGTTGGTGACTGGTTTACAAAAAACGGATAAAAACATGTTTTGAAAATGCTGCTATTCTTGACTTTTTTGTAACAGTATTGCTGTCTGAGCAGATGTAGAAAGTTGTGTTATTTTTAACTCATCAATGCAGAATTAATTCTCAGTGTAACCTTCTACCTTCTCTCAGTGGGGAAATATGTACCCACCATTCTCTCTCTGGGTTAAGAATTCAGTCCTGAATATTGAAGGAGGTAAATACTTCAACTCTTGCTAAGAATACTTCAGGCCACCTATATCCCATTAAATGGGAGGACCTAGAGGGACAATTATGGGGGTAGTTCTTTCAGTTTAGCGGGTGTGTTATCCTGGTACTCTGAAAGGGGCAGGTGTATCACAAATTTGCCTTTAGAGACCAAAGGCTTAAGAACACCTGTTAACAGTCTTTCATTGTAGATGCTGGTACTAACTGATAAAGACTTATTAGGTGCTGGGTGCAAGATAAAGTATTCTTTCACAACGATAATATCTGTGAAGGATTTATATCCATTTCTCTGTAGGGCTGATGCCAAATTTATGCCCCAAAGAAGGCGTAGAGAGACTGCTCAGAGACAGAGTTTTCAGTCTATAAGCAGGAGGTATTTATTTTCACGGCCGGGAAGCGGCCAGGTCGCCCTGGACAAACCGCTTCCCCGAGGAACTTACAATTTGAGCTTTTATACACTTTTTGCTAAGCAATTACATCACATATTATGAATATTCATTACATTGCAACATCTACTTTTAATATTCATAACAGGCGGAGTTGAGGCGGAGTTAGAGGCGTGGTCTTCAATTTGGGGAGAACTTTGGTGGTCGTTCCGTTCTTCCTTCATCATGAACCTGCTGTCCTCACCATCATCCTCCTCTTAAACTTTTGAACCTTCCCTAATTTGGGTAGTTTCCTCGTGCATTTGGCAGGGATTTCCAGTGTCTGGCAGAAGTTCCTGATTTCTTGGCTTGTCCCTTTTCTTATCTCCCTTTGTTTTCTTCCATATGTCCTTTTTTGTGTGTGCTAGCATTTCTAGTTCTCTCCGTTCATGCCCATGTTCCCTCATGTCAAAGTGACCTGTATCCTAGTGGATTTATTGCCTCCACTGTTTCCTAATACTGAGCTCTATGTGCTTTGCTGAAAGCCTGCATTTGTGCTTAACTCTCTCTAATCCTTACATTGCTTTACTAAATTCACTTCTCAGGTGTTACCTGGCTTCATTCCCCCCTTTTCTAAAACTTACGAATTCTTTCGTCAAGTTCTAATCCTAAAGGGCGCTGATACGCTTTTACCATCGCCCAGATTATTTGGGTTCTTTTGACCATGGACTTTAACTTACACTACAGGCATATATTCATAAGGGTTAACAGGAGCATAGCCATGGTTATAATTAGCACTGGGTGTATCAGGTAGTGAAAGACTTGTGTTGCTGTTGGGGAGTATCCTGTGAAGATATCCTGCCAGTGATGTTGACCTACTTGTGCGACTTTTGTCAGGATATTTTTATACTTTTGAATTATGCTCTACCTGCCACAACATGCGTTGAGTTGTTTGGTTCACTTTTTGAACTAGCTTCTCCACTTCAGGATGTATGATCATTTCTTTGAGAAGTTTAGTATCTATACCTATCTTTAGCTTGGGTATCTCATGATATAAAGTATACTTAGTTTCGATTAACTGCTGTGTAGTTATGGGAGCAGTGTAGTTAAAGTCACAACCTATGACTTTTGTGAAGTTGCATATGCAAAAGTTAGTATCGTTAGTCACTTCATGACAATTATCTATGGTAACATCATTGCAAGTGGTTCTAATGCAAGCGCATCCATTCCCTATATAGAATACTTGTGATCGTGCTCCATTGTGCGGAAGCATTTCAAAAGTGCATACACTGTTTTCAGCATCTAAGCATAGGTCCTCAGCTTCTACAATGGCATTTTCGCAGATATAACCTAATTGTCCTTTAGGAATACATGCTTCTGTACTAATTGATTGCCACTTGTTCTTAGTACTATCATAATTTGCCCAAACGTTATGGTCCACAGGTTTGACAATGACATTCTGATGCATAGCTCCTAATGTTAAAACAGGAAATATAGCTCTTTCTTCTGCGGCACTAATAGTAAGGACATAGGTTTCAATGTGTTCCTGTTGTGGATCATAAGTAAAGTTAACTAGTTGCCACTAAGCCTGGTGGTCTTTTTCAAATCGTGTAGTGGAGCTATCTCTTAGTATTGTTTCTCTTATTTCTTGAGGCAGTAAGCCTGACATTCCTTCTCTTAATATTCCTGCTGCTACTGATTGTATCCATTGTTGTGTCTGAACACACTGGATAGCAAGTGCAATTTCTTTGCTAATATCTCCAGTATAGTCAGCAATTTTAACAAAATTTTCAGCAGTGTGGTTGGCTACTAAGGTCATCAATCTGACTACCAATGATTGTGTCTCTGCTAAAGTTAGCATAGATGAGCTTAAAGCTTTCCCAAATTAGAAGTGACGGTACTTAACTTATTCACTAATACTTCTTGGTCTATAGTGTTTAATATGCCAAACCGCGTGCCAACCCATCCACTTATATCTCTTTGTGTTTGTTTGCGGTATGACCTAGTTGTTAACCAGGCATTCCAGCCTTTGAGGCTTTGCTGTATAAACGGTTGACAATCTTTCTGTAAATGTGTAATGTCTGTCTGAATGTTTATCTGTACTTTGTTCAGAGAATATGTAGGATCTAACAACAGCTTTAGTTCGTTCAATTGTCTTATTACTTGAGGCCCTATAAAGATTAAATTATGTATCTTTTTACATTCTAAAGGTGGAGTGGTTTCACGAGACGGGCTCACGATTGAGTCTGTTGCTAGTCTAATGATTCGCTTAAAGGTTCTACCGGTTACAATGCCTTGTTCACCAATGGGTTCAAGAATCTTGGCTTCTCTGCTACATGAAAACGACATTGATTGATCTAGCTTGAATATAATTTCACACTGTGCTCTACCCCCTTCAATACTACCTCATTGACATGAGACTGGTTCTTTTCCATTGAATCTAAACAATGGGCTCTTCATCTTTTACTTGGCTATAAGTGATTAAATTCTGTCTAGAGGCTTCTTGCCAAAATTCAATTGTCAATACTAGTTTATCTGTTTTTCCCATTAAAGCCTCGACCTCTCGGCACCCTACTTGAATTTGGTCTCTCTTTTGTGCTATGAAATGGGTTCTGCTATCCCATTCATCTATCGTATAAGGTTGATTATTATGTAAAACGTAAACCTCAAAATCTGGGTTTTCCTCAGAGCGTGGTAG